ACACACACACACACACACACACACACACACACACACACACCACACACACATATATATATATATACACACACACACACGCACACACACACACAAGGAAACCGAGAAAATGTTGCCAGGGTTTGGTAACTACGAGTTTGCAAGACTGCGTCTGTGTTTTCGCGCATGCGTGCGTGGAAGCGCGAGCATCTGTCTGAGCGCGCGCGCATGTGTTTGTTTGTGTAAGAGAGAGAGAGAGAGAGAGAGAGAGGGGAACGGAAGCGGCAGATTTGGGGGCGGGGGTGAGGGGAGGAGGAACATGGAGATGGAAAGGAGTGGGGGCAGCAGCTGCAAAACCTTCACAATAACAATATAATAATTTCTTTCAACAGAAACGGCAACAGTGTCTCAATCCACAAGTCTGATGATAGTCCACGAGAAAGGAAAGCCAGAACAACGCTCATGATAATAATACTGAACAGTATTCCTAAAGATGGCGGAACATTTTAATAAATGAATCGCCATCACTCGTTTCAGTTTCTATTCCGGTAAGAATTAAGGACAGCAGACATGGGCGTTTGTGCGTTAGTTACTGTTCCATTTATGTTGGGAGAGAAGGGTCCATCGGATTAATTCGAAGACAGTTCTGGGCGCAACGTGTAAACCACACAGTAATAATAACATGAGCAACATTAAGTCTATGGTTAAGCCAACTTACCTGTCACAAAACGTGACGACGCTGGAGTTATCGGACGTGGCATCCTCGTCCATGGTCATTAAATATCGGCCTTACTTGATGAGGGAACAGATCGACAAGCGCTCGCTCCTTCCCTCTTTCTCGCTCTCTTGTTCTTTCAACTCACTACTACAATCCACAAGAGAACATCAGGCGCCAGCGATAGACACTTCTCCGATACTACCAGTCTTTCAAAAGTTACCACTTTTCTTTGGAGCAAATCAAACGCAAACAGGAAATTCTCCTATACTTTCAGTCTTTCGAGTCACTACTTTCCTTCAGAGCACACCAGACTTCGGCACTGTAATCATCCGATACTTTTCACGGGAAAACACAAGAGTACGATTTTCCGATACTGTCAAGTCTTCCAACTCACAATATGTACTATCCACAAAAGCACATCCAACTCCAACAGTACAGTTTAATCCCCCGATACGGCCAGTCTGGTAACTAACACAGCAGTCACGGTGCACATGCACACGTACAATTACCATGCGTTCTAAAAAAGTTTTAGCACACTGTGTATAGTATAACAAAGAAAGCCTCTCAGCGAACATCCCACCAGCGTCATCATTTATTTAACAACGAGGGTATGTCGTAAGGGAAAGACAAGAGCCAACAAGTGGCTCTTTACTGTAAACTTTCTTCTCTTCGGGCAACTTATTGGGGACAGATCCGGTTCATTTTAGGACACTTGTTTGTTAAACTGTACTTTACGGCATGTCCAGGCGATAATGACAATATCTTTTGAGTTGCTTTACAACGCTTTCAAAATAAATAAGTCATAAAAGTGCCGAAGTTTAGAGGTGCTACGAGAGAGTAACATACAAAGAAATGAAGGAAGAGAGAAAAGTTCGATAGATGTTTGATAGGAAGAAAGAGGGAGCACTCACAAACCATCGATAACGAGAATACCATCTTGGAAAAAGCACTGTGAACAAGTGCACGGTGCAGAAACCACCATAGCGCCCACAGACAGGTCTGATACACTCAAAGAGAAGCATTAGAACACTGGTGTTGTTTTGGAGGACGATTTGTTTGCCATTACTTTGGATGAGAGGAGAGAGAGAGGGAGAGGGAGAGAGAGAGGGAGAGAGAGAGAGAGAGAGAGAGAGAGA